TGATTGTTTTGTGGTCCACAAAGAGAGGTTCAGCATAATGTTCAAGTCAAGGTAGTTTTACTATTGTGATCGAGTCACGTATTCCACAAGGTATAGTTTTCAAAGATCGGTATCATAAAACATCTTTTTGTTTAATGAAGAATCGTGGTTTTATTATTTTGATACAAAGAATGGAATTCAATCTTTTCAAGATTGATCAAGCGGGATGTTTCAAGGGTGTAGTTAACACATCAAGTTTGAGTAATTCAAGGATATGAGTCATAAGATATCAAGATAGCATTTGCAAATTACCGTTACTAATAGTAGGTTTTCTTCCTTCAATGTTTCACTCTTTGGAAGTTACTCAAGAGGTCGTTGTCTTAGGAAATAGCCATTTTGACTTTTCGTCTCGGATTTGAACGTGTTTCAGCACAACGAATCAAACTATTCATGAGTCTCAATACGTCATATCTTCATCATACTATAGTATTAGCGAGTACGTTCTCGTCTGCAGGTAATTTGAATCCATTTTACTGTACGTATTTTGGCTGGTGATAATTACTTTTCCATCAATGGTCAGGTTCTAGAGACTATATATATATCACGATTATGGGAAGAGTATCTCACATTCTCACATTATGGAAGGAACTTCTCGAACACTTCCTTACACCATAAGATTCGTTGGTCTTCTTGGCAGTCATTCTCTTGGTAGAAATCCAAAGTTTATGGCTACTACAGTAGATTTAAGAAGAGAATTGATAAGGCGAAGAATTAGTCTTGCTTATGGAGGAGGCAACATTGGCCTACAAGCAGCTGTTGCTTCAACAGTCTTTACCAATGGAGGTCTCGTTAGAGGTTTCATTCCTGGGTACATAGCAACACGACGGGTCTACGGACCTACATACGGCGTAGAGCACACAGTTTCCAGCAATTATTACAAATATTTTGAGATGAATCATGCCGTGGAAGCTTTCATCATTCTTTCTGGAGGAGTTGACACTATGGAAGGTTTGTTCACCTTGATCTCGTGGGTTTCTGAAGGGTTACACAATATGTTAGAATAAAGGCCCAACGCTAGAGGGGGGGGGTGAATAACGTTTAAAACAAAATCGCAGGAAATTAAAACGAGAGCGTTAAAGTAAAGAACGTAAGGAAGGAGCACACCGGATTTTATCCTGGTTCACCACAACGTGTGGCTAATCCAGCCTCCCGAGAGACTCTCTCGAGCTACACTAACTCCGTTAAGCTTAAGGGTGCTTAACAAACCGATACAACTTGAGAACCCGAGTCACACGAGCCTCAACACCTTTGCTCAGAGATACCGCACTCCAAGACTTCTCACGAAGGAACAAGTAATTTCCTTCGAGTTTACAACAAGGGAACAACCTCCCTTAAAGTGTATGAAAACACTTAAACACTCAGGAATAAATCTCTCACAAGAGTAGATATGAGTGAACTATTAAACGCTCAAGAACACGACAATTTCTTCAAGGATTGGCTCTCAAATAGCTAAGAAAAATAGGAATGCTTATGCAATGAATGAGTATTGAAATGTTGAAGAATTGTGTATTAAAAGAGAGGATTTGGGTGCCATTTTATAGCCCAAAAAGGGATAAACCCGTTGCTAGAATTTCCAACAGGATGAAGACAAAAGTGGTTTTTATAAAATAACTATTCGAGAACCTTTAAAATATGCTCAGAGATAAAAACAGGGTTTAAAATATTGAAAACCACGGAGTTGGTTCGGGCGCCAAAAACCGAACCCCGAAAGCCGAGCCCCGAAAGCCGAACGCCGACTTAGGTGGTTTTGGTTCTGAGCAAGGACCAGGGATTTTTAACAATAAAAGAAGTCATCAAAAAAATGTTTGTTTTGATGCACAAAAAAATGTTTTATGGTTTGTAAAAATTGTTTTGACTTTTTGAGAACCGAGACTTGAATAAATTGTCGGTTTTGATCACAAAAGACCGACTCGACTAAGTCTTCAATTCTTGATCTTGTCCTTGAGTCTTTTAGGTCTTGTTCCAAGCCAATCTTCACGCCTTGAGTTATTCAACGAAACTCTTCATATCCACGGCGGTTTGGCAATTATCAAAACCTGTCAGAAATGAACACGACTTTAGTTTAACGTACAAAGTGTGTTCCAACAATTAACGTACAAAGTGTGTTCCAACAATTTCCCCTTTTTTGATAATGGCAAACAAGACGGAGATATGCATAGGGTTTTGACCTTTTTGAAACAAAATTCCCCCTTAATAAAATTCCCCTTGAAAATATGCATAGTCCTTATCTTCCCCCTTTTGACATTAACAAAAAGATTGTAAACAACAAAAATCATAAAGATTTTTATTAATTAATTAAGGGAAAAAGCGGAGTACATAGCGAAAGCATATTAAAAGATTATAAAATAAGGAAGAGAAGAAAGTAGAGCTAGAGCTCTAGAAATCCGGGGAAAGATCATTGAGAAGTTGTTCTTCGTCAATGTCTTCTTCTTCTTCTTCATCACCATCGCCATCATCATCATCATCTTCTTCTTCTTCTTCTTCTTCATCGTCCACCTCGTCTTCTCTTCCAACGTTTTGAGTCCCACTTTGTTCACCTCCGAAATTCGGTGGAGGAACGTAAGGGACCATTTGAGCGTACGGGTAATTGACAAAGTCAAAATACCCGTGAAGTTCCCGGCTCAAGGTATTGACGTTGTGTGCCGTTTTGGAGACGTTGGTGTCAATCCGAGAGAGAGTGGCGGTTAAGGCTGCCATTTGCTCGGCGAGAGAAGGATTGGTCGATGTGGTGGCGGCTGAGGCAGTGGCTCTCGGTTGTCGGTGTGGACGAGGCTGTCGAAACGGAGTCTCGTGGGTGCCCGAGTGGAAAGAAGATTCATCAATCTCCCAATGCTTTGTCCCCTTTATCTTTGGCCCAACATCGGTTTCGATGTTGTATTCTTCAAGAATTTCCATGACAAGGAGGGCGTAGGGGAGCGGCCGATTGTCGGAGGTGGCCGTGAACATGTGAGTCATCAGAAATTTACACCAATTGAGATTGGCGTTGTGAATCATCGCATGGATCGTCTTCGTGTCTTCTTGGGAGAGATTGGTGTGGTTGAACTTCCTGGGCTTGAGGATCCGTGTCAACACATAGAAGATGAAACGATACACGGGACTCATGGAAGAAATCGTAGGGCGCCGCTGTTGGGGAGTGGGTACGAAGTGACGGATGCCCACTTCCTCCAAGAGAGCGGTCTCATTGAACCGCGCCCCCTCTTCTCCGGTGTAGAGCCCGAGATCCTGTCCGTCCCGACGAAGCCCGGTGAGGATTTGAATGTTCTCTTCATTCAAATAAATGTCCACCCCGTTGACGTTTGAAATCAACGATCCGTCCTCATCCTTTTTCAAGTTCGAATAGAAAGCTCGAACAAGAAAAGGTTGATAATTGACCTTCTTGATGTAGAGGAGATCGAGGAAGTTTCC